GGCGAACTTTAATTCCAGCACTGGGGAGACAGAAGCAGGTGGGTCTCTAGGAGATCCAGCTTGGTCTCCACAGTGCATGAGTTCCAGGCCAGCCAGGGCTCCACAGTGAGGCCCTGTCAAAAAGAAACAAGAACTAAACAGAAAAGAAGCAGGAAGGTTAGGAGTGGCAGGCACAGGGTACTCCACAGAGAAAGGCAGGGGCAGAGCTGGGCTGCAGATGACTGTGAATGTAGGAGAAAGACAAGTGTGTGAGGGGCAAGGCTGGGGCAGGTGTGGCTAGGGACAGGTTGCCAGAATCCAAGAAAAGAAAAGAAGACAATAGTGGGTTGGGCTTGTGTGCTGTAGTGACGTGGATTAATCTGGTCAGGCTCTCAGGACTGTGTGGGGTGGAATGAGAATGAATGACTTTGGTGGACGCTGGGTACTTAGGGAGAAGCAGTCAAGACAGGGAACAGGTGGTTCTGAACACACTCTGATAGACCCCTCCAGACGACAGAGCTGAAGCTGGGGAGGCAATGAGTTGTCCAGGTTAGAGATCTGGGAGATTTGGGAGTACCTGGAGACAGTATGGACTCTGTGATGTCTGTGGGGGGCAGCTAGACTTGCATCCCTGGTTCCCACTCACTTGCCTCTCTCTTCCTGTTATATACCACCCTTTCTTGACATCTCCCTTTGCTGCTGCCCAGCTCACCCTGTTGCCCTATGACAGACTCAGAAACAGCCATAACTTCAGTAAGGTTCTCGGAAGGAGGGAAGGAAGGAATAGGCATGAATTCTGCACTGGCTAGTGGGGCTTCAGACTCCTGCTAGCTCCTCTCCTAGGCTTACCTACCTTTAGACCCAGCTCAGCTCAGGAAAGGACCTTGCTTGGAGTTTTCCTATCTTTGATCCTTCCCATTTCCCTGTTCCATTCCTTCCATGGCCTTAGTTATTGTGGTTTATACAGATTTTGGGCCAGAGAGATGGCTCAGTGGTTAGGAGCATGTACTGCTCTTGCAGAGGACCTGGGTTTTGTACCCAGCACTCACATCAGGCAGCTCAAATCCACCTATAACTCCAGATCCAGGGGATCAATGTCTCTGGCTACTGAGGGCTCTGCACGAGTGCACAGTCCATAAAAACATACACATATACTCATCAAAATAAAAATTCTTTAAATCTAAAATTTTTTTTACAAATTTCAGCATCCTAAATCCTGATATTAATTAACCCCACTGTTTGAACACAGGGATGGGGTAGGGCTAAGATATGATTTATGACCCCTGGGTTACGAGAAACTGCTTTCAGAAAATTTCAGAAAAATTGATGGCAGGGGGTTGGACATCAGCTGCCTGCAGAGATAGGTGTAGGGCCGAGCTCCCTGCTCTTAAAGTACCCTATGGTCCTCGCATCAAAGTACAAGTAGTTGTCAGGTACTTTATGGCCTGACAGGTTCTAATGTGAGTGCTAGACAACCACTCAGCTCAGCAGTCTTCATATGGCATTGTTGCTACTATTTATTTCTTTCTTATTTATTTATTTATTTATTTATTTATTTATTTATTTATTTATTTTTGGAGACAGGGTTTCTCTGTGTAGCTCTGGCTGTCCTAGACCAGACTGTAGACCAGCTCTGTAGACCAGACTGGCCTCAAACTCACAGAGATCCACCTGCCTCTGCCTCCTATTCCTTCTTAATTTTTGTTACATTTGCTGATTTGTGTGTGCTCACATGTGCATGTGTGTGTTGATGTGGGGATATGCAAGTGCTGCTACATGAGTGTAGAGGTCAGAGAAAAATTTTGTGGGAATCAATTCTTTCTACCACGTGACTCACTCCCAGGGATTAGACTCTGGTCCTCAGGCTTAGAGGCAAGCACCTTAATCTGCTGAGCCATCTCACCAGCTCTGTTCTGTTTTTTTGAGACAGAACCTCAATAAGTAGTTCCAGCTGGCTTGTAACTTGCTATAATAGACCAGGGAGGGTAGCCTCAAGCATGCTGGGATTCCTTGCTTCTGCTTTCCAAGTGCCAGGATCACAGGTATGTGTTACAATGCCCAGCTCATTGCCTTCCTTCTTTCCTCCCTCCCTCCTTGCCTCCCTTCCTCCCTTTCTTCCTTTTTTCTTCCTCCTGTATTCTTTAATATATATATATATATATATGTATATATATACACACACACACACACACACTTATGTGTGTATGTGCCTGTGTGGGGGCATATGTGTGCCTTGGCAAATGTGTCGAAGTTAGAGGACAACTTTGAAAAGTCTATTCTCTCCTTCCAGTATGTGGATCCAGGGATCGAACTCTGGTTGTTGGGTTTGGCCTTTATCCACTGAGCCATTTTCCTGGGCCCACATTTCTTACTAGAACAGTCCCAGGCCTTGAATTTCCTATGTAATCAAGGATGACTTTGAACTTCTGCTCAAACCTCCCCCCTCTATTAAAAGGACACATTTTTTTTAGCTGTATAATTAACCAAGGTGAGAAAAGATTTCCAGAATAGGGCTTGGATGTGGGGAATGGATACCTTTTCTGTTGCTTGTCACTGGGGTTTAACTGGCATAACATTTGGAAAACTGGCATAACATTTGGAAAACAGCTTGACTCTTATCTCAGACTAGAGGTGGTGGTGCACACCTCCAATTCCAGCACTTGAGAGGCAGCAGCAGGATCTCTACGAGTTAGAGGCCAACCTGGAATGCATAGTGAGTTCCAGGACAGCTAGGGTAACACAATGAGATTCTGTTTCCAAAATAAACAAACAAAAACTCTCAAAAACAAACAAAAAATAATCATAGGAATAAGTAATAACATGGGAAAATTTGCCATGAAATTGTGTGAAACAATAAAAGTCACATGGCAGAATATATGGTATTCAATCCACATTTTTTGTTTTTTGAGACAGAGTTTCTCTGGGTAGCCCTGGCTATCCTGGAATTGCTCTGCATGCCATGCTGGCCTCAAACTCAGAGATCCTCCTGCCTTTGCCTCTCTGAGTGCTGGGATTAAAGGTGTGCATCACCACCACCCAGGAACTTTTAGAGAATTTTTTAATGGATGATTTCAATCATTTATAAATGCTTTATTCTTACCATATTCTCTACAGCAAGCATAAAAAGTTAAAAATAAAACCCCTCTAAGAAGTGTGAAGTGATGAAACCAAACGTAACCAGAAATTAACCTTAGGAGCCAGAAGGTCAAATCACTAGAATAGTCTGTCACTCTATTCAGTAAATACAGTTACATGTCATTTAGCTGCAAAGAAGCATTCTGAGAAATGTGTCATGAGTAGATTTTGCTGTTGTGCAGACATGGTGGAGTGTGCTTATAGGAACCAAGACAGATATGACATCGCTGGGTGGTGTCATCTACTCATCAATGGCTGGAATGGCATGCTGTGTATGGTGACATATGTGTCAAACCCTATGTGAGGATAAAGAGAGGTTACCAATGAGGTTGCCTGGATCTTTACAATGTGATACTGGACAAGGCCTGTCCCTTGTCAAGGTGAACTTTCTCTGATCTGTGTGACACTGTGGTTGGAGGATGTCAGACTGGATAAACTCTGAGGGTCCTGGAAGACCTTGGGCCAAGTCTCTAATTCTATCTTGAGATGACAAAGTGTGTGTTTGTATGTTTGTATGACAGCACACATGTGTGTTAGTTGTACATGCCCATGTGTGCACATACATGGGGGCCAAAGAGCAGCCTTGGGTGATGTTCCTCTGGAGCTGACCTCCTTGGTGTTTTGTTGTTGTTTTGATTTTTTTTGGCCTGGAGCTTTCTTAGTAGATTTGGCTGGCTGCCCACTGAGCCCACAGCCTGTCTGTTGGGATTACAGTGTGTGTGCTGCTGTACATGGTATTTTTACATGGGTTCTGAGGGTTTAATTTGGGCTTTTATGTCTGCAAGGGAGCATTTTGCAGACTGAGCCCTCTCCCCAGCCTAAGAGAGCTTTGCCTTGGCCCAGTCACAGAACAGAGTTACTAAGCATTTGGGATTCTCACTTCCAAGTCCAGCTGTTTATTCCAGTTGTTTACATATAGAGGGACCAGCACACAGGACCTTGTTACGTATTCTAGACTTTGAACTGCCCTGTCTTGACCCTGCTTCTTGGCCACCCCTCTTCCTTTGAGAACCCCTGAGCTCACTCAGTTGGGGCTGTGCTGACATCTCAGGCTTTACTGATGCCTAGAGGAACAGGAAATGGGGGCCCTAGTCTGTGGAACTGGTGGGGGAGGTGGCACTTCAGAGGCTACTGGGAAGGAAGCCCCACCTGTTCAGGGGAAGAACATCTCCTTCCTCCTGGGACATTTTTGAAATAGTTTAGCTGTCATGGCTGAGGTACTTCAACTGTCTGAAGGTGACTGAGGCCTCTATTTCCTAGTCCCACCCTTTCAGCTGCACTCACTTGTTGGCCAACTGGACTCTACCTTCCACATCTCTAACAACATTTGATAAAGGATCCTGTACACTGTGGCCTTTCCCAGAACCTGATAGTTTACGGTAGCTCCTGGGGCACCTTAGAAACTTTTGCTTTCAGCATGAATATACCTGTGTCCGTCCTCCAGGGCGGGGCTGGAGACTCCACACTTCCTGGACTAGCTAGCAGTTGCCTGGAAGTTAAAACACGGTGGACAGACTGATCTTTTTTGAGGGGCCAGGCATTAACGGAACTTTAGGTTTCCAGGCAAGACACTGTGAGAGACACCTACCAGTAGACAAAATGCAAACGAAGATGACAAATTTTGGCCTATCAAATTGCCAGAGGTGAGACAAGGCTAATATCCAGAATAGTGCTTGGATATGGGGAAATGAGTTCCCTCTCAGAAGGCTGGTTATTGGGTTAATGGGCACAGCATTTGAAAGTGGCTTCAAAATATGACATCTTAAACTTTACCATGTACATAAGCAAGGATAGGGGACAGAACAGCTGCCCTGGGTGAACACAGTGAGGCTAATAGAAAAGATACCCCCAACTCTCCTTTCTAACATGAACATATTTCCCTTCAGCAACCAACAAATGCATGGAAAGAAAGCACCTCTGAAGAGCTCTGTGCCTTTCCCAGAGAAACCAGAAAAGGTCCAGGAGCCCCCAGATGACAGGTAAGGCCCTTCCAATCAGGGGTAAGCCCAGACTAGGAAGGGATTGTCAGGAGGTGACCTGCTGGTGAGGGGACCTTAAGGGACTAGAAAGATGTCTCTGCCAGTACAACACTTGTTTTTCCAAGCAGGAAGACCTGAGTTCAAGCCCCAGTGCCCACATGAAAAGAAAAAGGCTGATTGTGGCAGTGTGTGTTTGTAATTCTGGTGCTGGGGAAGTAAAGACAGGAGAACCTGGGGGGGACAGCCTAACTGGTGAAAGACCCTGCCTCAAAAGAGGTGGATGACTCTCAAGGTTGTCCTCTGGCCAACACACACACACATACAGACTAGCACATGTACAAATACAAATGTGAGTGGTTGGGGGCAGGCCACCTTAGCACGCCTTGGCAGGGAACAGCCTGCTGAGGCCTCTTCCTCCCACCTTTCCAGCCTGTCCTAGAGCATTGGGACCTAGCAGGGGCCAGGCTTCTCAGGTTACCAGTCTCCTCCCTGCCCACCTGTCCTTGGGCCAACCTGGCCAGAGCAAAGCTTTTTATTTCAGCGCGTTCTTTCCTGCTCAGTAGCCTCAGTCACTTTAGTGTGCCGAGTGCCTCAATGAGGAACAGCAGGCTGCCCCAGGAGGCTGCAAGGAGAGCAGATCTGTCTGTATCATGGCCCTAGAGCTGTGAGTCTCATGCTTCTGTCTTGTATACCCCTACACTGTAGTCCCGGGACCCACAACACTTGGGCCTCTGCCTACTTCTTGGCTAGAGAAATCAGAGTGTCTTTGTCGCTCAGGGCTGAGCAGCTGCTCAGCATTGTGGGAGACTGAGGCTCAGGCTGAGCATACCTCTGTGAGTGTGACACTCAAATCTGCTTGGGAAGGAGGTCTTATGAGTGCCCTTCCCCAGAGATGAGCGACACACTTGCAGTTCTTATCATATTACTGTGTTTCTTAGAAAAGGGCCTTAGTCTCCAATCTCTGCTCCAATCGTATGGCACAAAGCCAGGGCAGAATTGGCACTGAGGACACATGGGCAGGACTCAAGGGTTCCTTGTCCCTGGAATGGAATGTCTCCTTTGCAGTCTACACTGGTCAGAAGGCTTGAAGAGTGAAGAGATAAAGAAGTATGGCCGGGAAGGGGTAAGTTTGTGGAGGCTACCTTGGTCTGCTCACTGAGGGAGGTGTCCTGGGATGCCCCAAATCAGTGGCCTCTTGGCCACAGGGCTGTGAGCAGGAACCCAGAAGACCTCAGTGAGTGCCCTTGTCTTGGTGGGAATGGAGTAGTGTGTCCCCTCTAGTCACTGGCTCCCTTTAAGAACTCAACATTACCAGGAGATAAGCTAGGCTTGGAACAGGCCCTTCACGATTTTGCTGTTTACCAGGGGGGTCCCTATGGCATTATCTCCTGGTGGCTAGAGCAGGGCTCTGTGGTGGTCTGATCACTAGCCTCTCAGAACCTGGTCTTATGTTTACAGACACTGCTGAGCAAATACAACCAGCAGTACCACAAGCTGTTTAAAGACATCCCCTTGGAGGAGATGGTTCTCAAAGGTGAGCTGTTTCCAGGACAAGGCTGGCGGGCCCTAGGCCCTCTACTTGGGAGCCTTTATGTTTAATTTACATGTGGGAACAATTTAGATGCTTTTCATCAAAAGCATGAAGAACCAGGGTGGTTTGAGATGGGGAGATGAGTTATGCAGGTTTGCTGGAAGAAAGGTAAGATTACCAGGTTGTTCTGTTCTGCTTTTTACCAGTGAGGGGCTTATTCCCTGCTCAGGCCTCTCACCAAGCATGCAGGGACATTTGCACAAGCTAGACCCTCTTCTCAAGGCAGGGTAAAGCCTCTTCCTGAGGTAACCAAAATCCGGGCCTACAAACTTGGACAGGAAGTTGCTCAGACCTTGTCGGTAATAGAGAAAGAGGAAACATCTAGCAGTCTGGTGGGGTGGAGTAGGACACTCACAATTCTCAGAAAAGCCCCTTGAGTGATTGGGGATGGGGACAGGAGAGTCTAGGTGAAAAGGTAAGAGGATTGAGGCCCTGGGCTTCTCTGGGTTAACTTTACTCAAGGATGTCCTTTCTCCTGTGACTTCTCAGTGTGTTCCTGTGCCCTCCAGAGAGACCTCCTTCTGCACGGTCGGCTCTATATCTCTCCCAATTGGCTCTGCTTCCACGCCAGCCTCTTTGGCAAGGACATCAAGGTAGTAATGAGTAGTGATGGTTGCTATGGCCCAGTAAGGCCCCTGCCTAGGAACCAGGGGAGGGATAGTCTCCTGTCCTGTGGTCATGACTTAAGCCATGCCTGTGGTCCGTGTGCTCGGCACGTGGTGAAGCCTCTCACTGGTTGGAGCAGCAACAAGGTCTCTTACCCATGTTCAGAGAAGTAGCTCTCCTCCTCCTAAAACACAGGCTTTCATCTTGATCCTACATCTGGCCTGATATTTGACAGCTAAATTATACTGGCTTCAGATATCTCAGAAATGCTTTCAGGGCCAGAGAGAGATGTCATTTTTAGGGAGAGTCACTAGTGTGACCAAGGGCCAGCTCTGGGGACTCTGAGTAGAGCAAAGAATTCAACAGAACAGCCATCTTTAAAGTCTTGGATAGCAGGGGTCATGAACAGAACAGAATCTGAAGCCGCATGTCTAATCAAGGGTGGGCAAGGAGGCAGGATAGTTAGTTGGAAGGGGACCCTGGATGTGAATATGAAAGGCCTAGATGCCTCCTGCTACCACCCACAAACATGACTTCACCAGGCTGTGCATTCTTGGCAGAGTGCCAGCTATGTCTACCCTTTGCTCCAGTGAAGAAAACGAAGGGCCTGTGTTCTTGGGGGGCTAAGAAGCATCTCTCTCTATCTCTATCTCTCTCAGGTGGTTATTCCTGTGGTATCTGTGCAAATGATCAAAAAACACAAGATGGCGAGGCTCCTTCCCAATGGACTGGCCATCACCACAAACACGAGCCAGAAGGTCTGTGAGCCTCTGGGCCAACAACTTCTGTCCTTCTGCCCATCATAGTTCCAGAATCTCATGGCCTGATGCTGGCCTACTCCCAGACCTTTACTTCTCCCTACCCTGTAGCTTTCCAGAAGATGGTTCAGGCTAACAAGCTAGAAAAACCTTCCCCAGGTGAAGGTCTAGTTGGTTCTCATGGTCCATATACCTCTGGGCTGGCCCCGATTCATGTATGGCTTTCTGGTACAGCAAAAAGCCCCATCTCACATTAGTCCTTTTTTTTTTCTTTCCATGTCCCAGTATGTCTTTGTGTCTTTGCTCTCCCGGGACAGTGTATATGACATGCTGAGGAGGGTCTGCACTCACCTGCAGGTATGGAACCCAGAGGCAAGGGTTGACCTGGGAGACTGTACCCAGGTCTTGGGACAAGGCAATTAGGGGAGATTAGTGTGTCTCTCTAGCACCTGGGATGGGAACAGAGAGAGGGACTTACTGTCTGGGCTCCATGTACCAGAGGCTGTATTTGAACTGTGCATCACTAAGCTTATCTTTTGGCCAGTCTTTGTGTGTCCTCATATGTATATTTGCCTCCTTAGTGTACAAATAGACAGGGGCATACAGTTGCTTCTCAATATACTCTCTGACCAAAGTGAGGAGGGGGGAAGTAGGGAGGGGGCAGGGGCATAGAAAATGAGTTGCATGAGTTGCCTGGGGTTTGATCCATTACAGTAGTACAAAGCCGCCGCCCCCCCCCCCACCCACCCACTGTACACAAACTCTGTGACCTGGGCTTCACCTGACACAGGTAGCTCGTTGGTGAGGGCCTCTCCATGTTTATCTTGGCTGTTGCTTTTCCTCCCTAGCCTTCCAGCAAGAAGAGTCTAAGTGTAAGAAAATTCCCCGAGGAAGCTGAGTGCGAGTCTGCGGTGAGAGCCGAGGCTGGGAGCAAGGGCCTGAGGGTGAGCAGAGCTCAAAAACTTTAGGACTATCATGTAGAATTAGGGCACAGGTTCTAGAGCCAGGGGCCACACTATGTTAAAAGTCTCCTAGACCACATGTCATTCGAAGCACATAGGCCCTCAGCAGGCTGTCTGAAGTTTATCCCCCACACACTGGCTGGGTTGAGTCTCAGACCAAATAGATGCAAATCCAGTTATCCATCCTCTTTCTTTTCTCAGAGGAAGGGGGACATTCAAAGTCATAGACATATCCTAAGACAAGAATTCCAAAGCCAGGGGTTGGGGAGGTGGCTCTGTGGCTAAGAACACTCTGTAGCTCTTACAGAGGGCATACAAGCAGGGGAAACACACACATACAAAAATACAAGCAAGCAACACACACACACACACACACACACACACACACACACACACAAATAATTACATTTAAAAAAACCCTCAAAGATGTCACTGACAACCCAGACTTTACTTTGCTCAAACTCCAGCAGTTTCCTCCAAGAGCTGAGGCCCTATGTAGGGACAGCTGAGGGTTTTTGTTGTTGAGTTTTTTTTTGTTTGTTTGTTTTTGAGATAGGGCTTCTCTGTGTAACAGCTTTGGCTGTCCTGGAACTCTCTCTGTAGACCAGGCTGGCCTGGAACTCACAGAGACCCACCTGCCTCTGCCTCCCAAGTGCTGGGATTAAAGGTGTGCACCACCACTGCCCAGCTGGGATAGCTGAGTTCTGAGGGCAGAGATAAAGTGTCAGTGACTTCAAAGTTTTAGAGCCTCCTCAGTAACTATGAAGCATTTAGCCAAGCATATAGTATATAGCCTGCCATGCCAGGGACAGAAGCCAATGTCCCCTTTTGTATAGACAGAAATAGTAAGTCACCTCTGCCAAGGTCAATGGCTTGTTCAAGGTTAGAATCTGGACCAAAAAAAAGCCATAATTTGTACCATCTTTGGCTGTCTTAAACTCAGATCTGAGCATGTACCCGGGTCGTCTGACCTAAGATAACCACTGTACTTCTTCACTGTGGCCTTCAACGTCATTGTTTGGGGGGGGGGGAAAGGGGTTTCATTTTCTTCAGTCTTTTAGCTAGTGGTACATTGCTCACTCATACAAGCGACTCAAATTAAACTCAGTGGGTCAAAAATAACAACAAAGTGATAGGAGTGAAAGAAGGCGAAGACTAGATTCGAATACAAAAATGGATCAGCTGGGGTGGGAGAGAGAATGCTAAGAGAAGGCACCATATGGTTATGATGCATTGTATGAGTATGAAATTATTTAAAATGATGTACAATTCAACCAAATGTCTTTTCAGTACTAATATTGAATGGTATAATTACCGTTGATAATACATAAAAGATGTTTTCTGACAGAGAAATTATACAGCCAGGGAATATCCAGGAGAGATGTGTTGTTATATTCTACTCCTGAGTAGACATCTGGATTGGTAATAGCTGGAGAAAATCTTGATAACACTGGAGTGGGCTCCTTAGGACAAAGGATGCTCATTTCCTGTCTTCTCCACAGGAAGTCCTTATCCCTGAAATGAAGTGGAGAAAAGTGTGCCCAGCCTCCACATCACTATCACTCCCAGACAATATCTCTTGTGTCTCTCGGATACCCACAGACTCCACAGATAGCTGCTTCCCCTCCAGAAAGCCTCCAGGGTCTGGTGAGTTCTGGATCTTGTCTGTGGAAACTGCTTGCAGAGTCTTAGTCTTTTCTCTTACTTCTATGCAAAGAGCCCAGTGTGGCCAGCCAGGCTTCTGAGAGCTATTTCTTTCTTTTTCCAAACCCATATGGAAAATCCAAGAGCCCAAGCAGCTTCAGCACATGAAGGGAGGGGGAGATGCCCCACTCTGGCTGGGGCCCGAAGTGCCCCAGGAAGATGCCTAGCTGCTCTCCCATTGCAGAGACCACCTATGAGGAAGATGCGTTGGAGGAAGAGCCCACAATGGACCAAGAATTGCGGCTGTGGGATTCCCGGCTCCTCAAAGTCATCTTTGTGATGTAGGTGTCTATACTGAGGGAGGTCTTTACCCCGGAGTGGTGGTGGTCATGGTGATTAGGTGTTTGAAACAGGTGTATTGAGGATTGACTGGTTATTGCCTAGACCTAAGGGGATGTTTCAAATCAACTCCAAGTTCTTGAATGGTTTTTGAAGGCCTCGTGACTCATCCTCCCAGCTTTCTGTCTGAGTCTCTGTATTTAGACTTCAGGCAGTGCTATGGCAAGGGGCAGGGTAAACTATTGAGAAAAGGAAAAGTTGCTGCCCAGACTTGGGGAGCCATCAGATAACTGAGAGAAATACTAGCCAAGGAAACACATGTTTTCTCCACTGTCTACCATTAGGACAATTTTCAGGACTCCTGGTTTGTCTGTTTCCCTCTCTTATTTATTTTTCTTCTAACATGTGTATATATGTATGCATGTATACACATGCATGTATACACACACACACACACACACACACACGAAGGCCAAAGGTTAAAGTTGTAAGTTTCTTTCCTGATTGCTTTCCAACTTATATATCAAAGCAGAGTCTCTCATTTGAAGCAGCCTGGGGAGAGAGAGGCTATTGTCACTCCCCAGGTCATCACCTGGGGATGAAGGGATGAACCTCATTTGCAGAAGAGGGCATCCCCTGCTTGTGGAAATCGGGTGACAAAAGTCAAGGAATTCCCAGAGTTCTGTAGAGGGCCTGGGTCTGGGGCACCTCCAGACATTATCTAGGCCTTACCTTCCAGTGGTGCCATAATACATGCATTCCAGTAGACAAAGGGCAAAGGGCCTCTTCTGTGGAGATTGGAAGATAGTAACAGGGATTGGGAGAGAAAGGAAGGTGGGTGAGGGAAAAGATTCACCTGATTTACTTGGCAGACTAAAAACCCAGAGTGGCTGGTGGCTCTTAAGTCCTAGAAAGCTCGGCAAGTGGCCATGTGCTCCATGGTATGGGTCTCCGGAAACAGACTGGGTAAAAGGAGATAGGAAAGGTCACCCAGAAGGTGGGAACTGGGATATGGGACCCCAAAATATCTTCCCGGTTTTGGCATTGATGGGATTGATGGAGGCAACATGAAAGTACTGATTGGCACTTCCAGAAACAGAACTGTTCTTTAATCAGAACAGCTGAATGGCCACAGTTTCTCTGCAGAAGTAAGACTGTGTCTATGGGGCATGGGGTCTTGGGGTTTAATAGAACAGAAAAGGGAAACTTTGGGATGGAAGAGGATGAAGTCTGGAAGTGGTAGTCAGTTGGTTTAGTATATGGAGCTCGGAATCTTCCACAGGTGTTACCAGTCAAGTCCAATTTCATGTCCAGAGGGTCTCAACCCACCCAAGGCTTTTAGATTATTAACCCTTCATCTTCCACATCTTCTGTCTCTGCCATCTAGGTTTGATGGCAGCCTCTCTAAGGAAATGGGACTGCTGATTTATACATTGACATCTCCTTAATGGCCACTGGAGAGGGTATAGAAAAAAAACCAAGGTGGCTAGGAAGAGGAAGGGTAGGATAATAGTTTTGGTTGTCTGGCTTCCTTCAAGGCTCAGCTGAAGGGCCTAGAATTCCTGCTAACTATAAAGACATTACTGTGGCCTCTAAAAAAATGATGCCAGGGCCTGTTTAATGAGCAAGAGCCAAGGGCTCTTTAAACCCTCCAGGTTGGGGAATTAGGGTAGTTCTCATGCGATTTCTAGTGAACCTCCACCAAATACCCTTTCTTCAGGAGACAGGTTCAACTCCTATCCTGGTAGTTGATGCACATGCCTATGATCCCATGCTGTAACTTGGAGGCTAAGACAAGGAGGATCATGGATTTGAGGTTAGTCTGGACTACATAGTAAGTTCCAGGCCAGCTTGGGCTATGTATCCAGACTGTTTCAAAAACTAAACTAAAAAGCATATGGAGATGTAACTTAGTTGTAGAATGCTGGCCTAACATGCACAAAGCCCTGGGTTTGATCCCCAGCACCATATAAAGCATGAAAGCATGTGCTTCTAATCCTAGCAGTTGGGAGGTGGAAACAGAAGGCTCAAGATTTCAAGGCCATCCTTGACTACATATCACTTTTGAGCTCAGTCTGTACTGCATGTAATGTAATCCTGTCTCAACAAACAAAACAGGGGTGGCTCAGCACTTAAGCCTGCTTGTCTTTCTTGTACAGGAATTCTGTCTCTTAGCACCCATGTCAGACAATTCACAACCATCTGTAACTCCAGTTCTAGGTGATCTGATGCCCTCTTCTGGCCTCTGTGGGCAGTTTGTGTGTGTGTGTGTGTGTGTGTGTGTGTGTGTGTGTGTGTGCGCGCACACACACACACACACACCAAAACTAGAAAATCATAAACCAGAGTCAATCCCTCATTGCCCATGTTTCTCCAGGATCTGCTTCTTAGTCGTGTCCTCGTCCTATCTGGCATTCCGAATCTCCCGGCTGGAACAGCAATTATGTTCCTTGAACTGGGGTGGTCCACTCCCAGGGGACAGGTGAGGCCCTTTCTCTTCCTAATGCCTTTGGGATTGAAGGTAGAATGTCAGAGCCAGTCTGTTACAACCCTAATTGAACTTGGCTCTGTTTTGAACTGGTTGGATGGCCCTAAGCAGGGTTGGGTATATGTGCAAGATACCAGATCTCACTCTGGACCACTCTAAGGGGAACAGGGTCTCCAGGCCTTTCCTCTGATCTGAGCATCTTTCTTGTGTGCAGGTAACAGTCACTTGGCCTTCATCCCCACACCTTGTCCAAGGATGCTCTGGGTGCTGTGTCTACCAACGACTCCTGAGGTTTATACTGCAGTTATGCTGAGAATGAGAATGAAGGAAAATAATCTAGATCCTTCCTCCAGATCCCTCCCCCAGTACTTCTTCCCTCAATAAGTGATCTGAAGTACCTGTTTACAGATTAACTGGCTCCTACAATTTCTGAACTCAAACAAAATGTTAGATCTTTTGACTTTTAATCAGGTGAGGAGTTCTGTACACTAAGCTTCAGCGACCACTTAGATGACAGAAAACATATTAACTTGACTTTTTGTAAGCAGTGATTCTGGCACACTGACAGAGCCCTGCGGGCCTCCCCCAGGGACAAAGGGCATGCTTTGATACCTGGATTGCTGCTTGCTGTCATATGACACACTCCAGTGAGTGTTGGGGGAGGTGGGGGTAGCAGACATAACTGCCTCTGTGCCTGCTGCCTCCCCACACTCTGATCTCACTTGGGCCTCTCAGAATCTTTGTTCTGGAGCTCTCAGGACTCCTCTGCAGGGAACCAGGCACCTCAGGGCTTGTGAGAAGGCTGGGATGTTGAGAACAGAGATCATGGCAAGGGATTAGCAAGAGACCAAACTTAGAGACAAACTGAGCAGAGCAGAGCTCTGGGCTGGCCCTGAACTTGGAGAAGAATCAGGTGGGACTCAGATTGGAGGTCCCAGAATCCCCATTCTGCAGCAGCCCCCTCTTTGGTAGGACAGTTAGAACAGGGGCTTTGGTATTTGGTACTAGGTCTATTCCCAGTGGTCCACAGACAGACATAAGCAACAGGAAGATGAGGGGTTTGACTTGAGGTCCAGCTGCTGGCGTACTTCCTGCATGGCCAACTGCACTGGTGAGGGTGGCTTGCTGGACAGTAAGATCTGTACACTAAGCTGCCAAGTGTTGGCAGAGCCCACTCATGTCACCTGCAGCCCATATGTTACAAGCCAGTCTGTAGGATCCAGGAATCTAAATAAGGTGGAGGTGTCTGGGTGGGGCAGGGTCAGTGTAGTGACCAGGTAGTTATCTCTCTGACCCCTTGGGGAGAATATTGGAGGTAATGAGATGGGTGCATACTGATGGTTTTTGCTGGGAAGCATCTTCACCAGTCCACTTTCCTTCTAAAAAGAACTCTAGTTCATTTCCTCAGGACTCTCACCTGCTAAGACAGTGCCTTTGAAGGTTCTAGAAGGGCCTTAGGGAGGAAGCCAGAGGGTTCAAGGAAAGGCACAAGTGGTGGGTGGGGTAGCATTAGGAATAGCCACTGTTTCCTCCCTCTGATGCTGGGAGAAGAAACCCAGGTGGGAATTGTTGCAGATGTGATTGTCTCACTTAGGACAAATTCAAGCAGGACTAGAGAAAGGACAGTAGTTGACAACTCCCTGAGCTCAGACTAGAGGTCCCTTCATCATCTCCCTATTCCAGTTTCTAGGATTGAACATAGAGCACAGTCTTGTGTGTTGTTTGTACCAAATCTTTACATCTCAGGTGAAACCCCATGTCCACTTCCCCTCCCAGGACCACATCATCAAATGCCCATCCTTAAGTGCCCATTCTTTTGTTTTAACCACTCCCCATCACTCTTTTCCATTGAATTTTTATGGAAACAATCCTCATTGCCCCAGGACTTTCCTCCCCTGGTCCCTGCCAGAAGATGGGATAACAAATCCATTCTCTGAGCCTTGCTAGATTGAACCAGGGTTCATGAGAGGTGCCAAATCACAAGTGGCTGTGCCATCGTGCTGTGGAAAGCATGGTCTCCAGCCAGCCCAAAACTCAGAAAGGGCAGCAGGTTCTAGGTAGCTGGCATTGGAGGTATACTTGGGGCCAGGGCCTTGAGTGATACATGTGTGTCTACTCCTCTGGAGGGTCCTCTCTCTGCTTCCCCCCTCTGTTCCCATCCAGCTCCTCTAGAGGAACTGCATGTTTGCTGTGATCATTCATAGTCTATGAGTATTTGTACATTCCCAATTGCATTGGCTAACGGTCCTCTGATTCCCTGAGGGTTCTGTTCAACAAGAGTGGTTGTCCACCTTGGTGTTAGCCTTTGAAATAAAAAAAAAAAAAAAGGGGGGGGGTTAAATCCCAGGTACTGAAAAAATGTTTTTTAAAAAATAAAAACCTTGATTTTTCTAGTGTCCTGTGGTGTGGAGATTCACTTTTATAGTGTGTATAGTGTGCCCGTGTGTGTGTGTGTGTGTGAGTGAGTGTGTGTGTGTGTGTGTTTAAGCCAGAGGACAACTTTAAATATTGTTCTCAGGCACCAGCCACCTTGAGACAGGGGCTTTCAATGGGCTGGACTTAGATGAGAGTAGACCTGACTGGCCTAGACAGCCCCAGTGGTGCTCCTGGTCCCACCTCCCCAGTGCTACAGTTCTAAGCATGCTCCACCATACCTGGCTTTCTATATGCATATATAGACACACACACACACACACACACACACACACACACACACACACACACACACACACACAGTGGGATTGACCTCAGGACATCATGCATGACAAGCACTTCATTGAGCCATCTCTCCAGTCCCTCCCCTCTTTTTTTGGGGGGGGGGTTTGATTTTTCAAGACAGGATTTCTCTGTGTAGCTTTGTAGACCAAGCTGGCCTGGAATGTACAGAGATCCACCTGCCTCTGTTTCCCCAAGGCTGGGACTAAAGGTGTATGCCACCACCACCTGGCTTTGTTTGTTTGTTTTGAAACAGTGTTTGGGAGGCAGAGGCAGGTGGATCTCTGAGTTCAAGGCCAGCCTGGTCTACAGAGAGAGTTCCTGGACAGCCAGGATTACACAGAGAAACCCTGTCTCAAAAAACCAAACCAAACCAAAACAACAACAACAAAAAAAAGAGACAGAGTTTCTTTGTTGTTTTCTGTTGCTTGTGCCAAGCTGGCTGGCCCATAGGCATCTAGGAATCCTCCTGTCTCTGCCTTCCATCTCCCCTTGGGAGCACTGGGATTACAGATACTCATGGTAGCACATCTGCCTTTGTCAGGGGTTTTGAGGATCTGAACTCAGGTCCTCACACTTGCACAGCAAGCACTGTCATCTACTGAGTCATCTTCCCACCCCACTTAAAAATTTTTTTTTTTTTTGATACAGGATCTGGCTTCATTGTCCAGGCTGCCCTTGATCTCCCAGTTTTCCTGCAAAAGCTTCCTATTGTGCTGGGATTTCAGGGTCATGGCACCCTGTCTGATGCAGAGAGTAGTTTTAAAAACACTTCATTTATTTTTATTTCATTTGCATTGGTGTTTTTTGCCTGCATATCTGTCTGTGTGAAGATGCCAGATCCTCTGGAACTAGAGTTACAGACAGTTGTGAGCTACCATGTGGGTGCTGGGATTGAACCTGGGTCTCTGGAAGAGCAGTCAGTGCTCTTAACCCCGGAGCCATCTCTCCAGCCCTGTATAGCACATAAAAATTTCTTATGGTGTGTGTGTATCTGTGTCTGGGTATGAAACTCAGGTTGACAGGGTTATACAGCAAGCAGCTCACCCCCCTGACCCTCTTGCTAGACCATATCAACCCTTTCTTTCTTCCAACAATGCCCCCTTCTAATAGCATATTCATTCAATAAATATTATTGAGTCCAGACTCTGTGCCAGCATGCTAGGCATTGGAGATATAGCAGTGACCATGCCAGGTAATCTGTGTTCTAAACACATTTAATTTAAATTCTACATAAAGGTGAGTTCTAATAAATATGCAAATAGGTTGAAGTTGGATTCCATATAGGAAAAACCATGATGTAAGATAAGGAGGAAACTGGCTTCAGACCGGGCAGTCAAGAAAGTCCTCTAAAGTGACACTTAAGCTGGTACCTGAAGGATGAGAAGCCAGTCACAAGAGGAGCTGAGACAAGAGTCATTTCTGGGAGAGGTTCGGTGACTACAAAAGTTGTGAAAGAACATTTAGGTCTAAGAAACAGAAACATTTACCTGACTCTGGAATACTAGTCAAGTTGGGGCGTGGGGCGTGAGGATGAAAGGAGGCTGACGGGCTGGCCAGATGGCTCATTATGTAAGGCTTGCTGTACAAGCCTTAGCTGTTTGTATTTGAACTCTGGAAACCACGTAAGGGTAGAAGAGTATCTACTCCTCAAAGTTATGCTCTGAGTTTCACAGGAGCGGTGGCATGTACACACTACCCCCATGTCAAGTCCACACACAGACATAACACATAAATAAGCACTTTAAAAATGAGGCTGGAGCTGGGTGCGGTGGTGCATGCTTTTAATCCTGGCACTCTAAAGGCAGGTGGATCTCTGAGTTCCAGGTCAGCCTGGGCTATTTCACAGAGAAACCCTGTCTTGAAAAACAAACAAACAAAATGAGGCTGGGGGACTGGGTATATAGCTCAGTGGGTAAATCATTTGTCATACATGTATGGCTACCTGAGTTTGAGCCCCAGAACTGACTCCACAAAGTTGTCCCCTGACCTGCACACACACACACCAAGGCTTTCATGTGCCCCCCACACATCACACACTACAGCTGTAACAAGAGGAATGTTACCCAAACATACAGCAACTATAATGCAATAATAAATTAAACTAAATTTAAAGAAGTTAACTAGAGACATCAACAGCAAAAAGCAAATGATCCAATAGGAAAATAGGCAAAAGATTTGCATAAACATTTCTCTTAATACATTTTTAGAAAATAATCATTAACCAATGGAAAAATTGGTCAGCGTTTCTACTCACATTAAAAACCATGGAGAGGCCATCACAGAGATTAGGATGGCTGCCATCAAACAGAAAATTACAACTGTTGGTGAGGCTATGGCACAATTGACTCCCATTGATGGAAGGAGGTTGTATGGCTTGTGGCTGGGGTGCAACACAGTAGGAGAACAATTGCTTGTTCTCTGAATTCAATTCTAGTACTAAGGGAAGGAAGGACATAGTTGCTGTGACAAGACAAATGTTACCCAAACAAACAAAAAGTAAATATGAATAGATAATACAGCCATTTCGTTTTTGAATATGTACTCGAAAGAGCATTTGGAGTGGTAGGCCGATTAGTGGTGGCTGGAGCCAGGTGCTTTGTGCTACCAGAAGAAATAAACATTTGGATATAATGGGACAACATGGCTGACCAGTTGCAGACTTCTGAAGAACCTAGAGAAAGTCCAAGAAATTTCTTCAAATACACTCCCGTCTCTCATCTCCCAGACAGGGCACATAATCCTATCTTCCTCAGTTTTGTGTTGAAATGAGCTAACCTCATCGGTATAAATCACAAGATGGATATCTGTGTTAGTACTTGAACAGAGGGGACGGGTCCTGGAGGGACAGGGCATCTAGTGGAAAGGAGTGAAGAGTGCAGATCAGTCTACACAAGATGTCCTCAGAATAAGAACTCTAGGTGCCCACACAACCAGCGCGGTCCTCCAAACTGACCTCGGTGTCACTAGGAATCCTGCCACATGGATGAGCTCCCCACAGCTGCTCTGCCACAGAAGTTAGGAGATCTGAACAAGGGGAATTTCTCTTTTTTGACTCAAGACTACTCATATCTTGACTCTAGCTGCCTCCCGTAAGAGGGAGAGAAAAAAATATCCCACTAGGTGGCAGCAAAGTTCAGTAAAGAACTTCATCCCCAGCAAAAGTCTTCAGTTTATCTCCTCTCTGGGTGAAATCTGGCCCAGGTTTCTGGTTTGTAATGGAAGAACAGACTCTACCGGCAGACAGTGGGGCCATCTCCCTCATCGCCTCTTGCCTCTCCCGACCTGGCGAAAGGCGAGCAAACATTTCTAAGGACTCTCCAGATTTTCTGAAGGTTTGGCTGCCAGGAAGGCAGGCTGGTTTGGTGTGAAGAGCAGGTGTGTCTGGATTGCATGGGTGGAGAGTCACAGGTGGGGAGCTGAATTTCTAAGGGCATGGAACTCAGGCTCCCTGCCCCCATCCACTCTTGGTGTTAATAGCATCCTCTCTTTGGGCACAGAATGAGAGAAATCTGGCTCCAGTGGGGCGTGAACCAAGATGTCAACAACACTCCTTTTCCTCCTTTACTTAGAGAGGCTGGTTTGAAATGTCACTGCTACATATGCTGTGTGCACCGAGGGTGTGTGAGAGAGGGAGGCATTTCAGCCTCTGAAACAATAGCCAGAGAAACTGGAGTCCTTCCCCCTGCATGACTGATCTCTGGATGAACAGCACCTGGTGCCCAGCGGGGCCCTGCTTACTGGGCCCCTTCATGTCGGCAGGGCTCCTTGCCTCTGTGGAATGTGTTCCTTCTTGTTTGGCACTCAGAACCTGGCTCCCAGCCAAACCCGGGGCTGCTTGGAATGTGATGCCCCCACTCACTACTCTCCCAGGGACTCCAGGTTCTCTCTTGTGTCTTGCGGAAAGGGCGGGCCCATGTGCAGCCTCATCCCACTGCTGTGATGTCTCTGAAAGGACCCCAGACTGACTTCTGTGACTGAACACAGATGCACTTGCGTGGGGGAAGAAGAGAGACACTGTAGAGCCGGGTCTCCAGCAAAGCGGAGACTGTGGCACATTGATATCTTATCCCCTTGGCAGTCTTCTAAATTGGGCTGGAGTGGGCCAAGAGTTGCTCACAAGCTGTTCATTAACTTGCTAAATGCAGAAAGGTTGGCTTGGGCGCCACTTTGGGAAAATGTGACACCCACTGCTCCTGGAGTCCGTGGAGCATGAAGGCATATTAATTGGTGTAGGATTTCTCATGGAAGTTTTTCTTCGATGCTAGTTCCAAATAGCAGGCTAATCCTGAATGCCATATTCTCTCCAACACACAACTTCTGGAGAGTGGTTTAAGTGTCTGCTGTGAGCTCCCAAATGTATACTTTTATAGATACTAAGATACTGACTACTATTTTTTTTTAAACATTTAATAGCACACCAGGCCCTATACGATGTACTTTTTTTTGTTTTGTTTTGTTTTTCGAGATAGGGTTTCTCTGTATTGCTTTGGAGCCTGTCCTAGAACTCACTCTGTAGACCATACTGGCCTCCAACTCACAGAGATCTGCCTGCCTCTGCCTTCTGAGTGCTGGGACTAAAGGCATGTGCCACCAATGCCTGGCACGATGTGCTTTTTTGCTCAGGATCTCATTTGACTCTCAATCCACCAACAAAACTTTCACACTTGACTGTCAATAC